GGGGTCTCCATAGGGGCTCCCCCACTTCAGGGGATGCTGCTGTGGGCAGAGTCGGGGTCCAGGGGGTCTCTGTGGGGACTCCCCTATTTTAGGGGATGATGCTGGGGCTGTTGGGCAGAGTGAAGGTGCTGGGGGGGGGGGGGGGGGGGGGAGCTCTCCAACCCTGGGGGATGATTTTGGGACAGAGTTTGGGTCTCCATGGGGTCTCCATGGGGTCTCCCCTACTTTAGGAGATGATGCTGGGGCTGCCGGGGGCGGAGTTGGGGTGGGGTGTCCCTCTGCCCCCCCCGTCTCCCCCCACACATCCTTGATGCCCTACACTGTCAGGATCCCCTTCTCCCCCCCCAGTCGCAGCGCTGACCGCAGCCCTGGAGGACGCAGAGAAGCTGCAGCCCAACTCCAACATGGGTGCGCGTCGCGTCCCCCGCATCCCCAACCCTGCCTCGTCCCCACGTCTGCGCCCATCCCGAAATCCCAACCTCTGCTCCCCGTCGCCTCCCCCGCAGCGTCCCGCTCCTTCCTGCTGTACAACAGAGCCCACAACATGTGCGTGGAGGCCCGCGGCCAGCAGCTGAGCGCAGCTCCGTGCCTTCCCGAAGCGGCGGCCCAACGATTCCAGTGGCTGCCGGGGATGCGGCTTTGGAACGCGGAGAGGCGGCGGTGCGTAACGGCGGCGGCGGAGCTGAATTTATCCGTCGTGACGCTGCAGCCCTGCAGGGAGGACGGAAGGTTGCAACGGTGGGAATGCGGAGAAGGAGGGCTGCTGGCTCTGGCCGGGAGGCGGCTGTATTTCAATTACGGGAACAACGTGCAGCAGACGGTGATGCTCTACGTGGGGGATCGCGAGTGGAGCCGCTGGGTCGTGCACGGGAGCGACGAGGAGCTCTGCACGCGATCCTGTCAGTCCCGTCTGGGGGGTTTTGCCTGGGGTTTGGGGGTTTGCTTCAGCCTAAGCTGACACAAATTCAGCCCAGCCCCAAACTCAGCCCAAACTGCTCCAAACTGCTCCAAACTCACCCCAAACTCAGCCCAAACTCAGCCCAAACTGCTCCAAACTCAGCCCAAACTCAGCCTGACCCCAGTCTGCCCCAAACTCAGTCTGGCCCCAAACTCACCCCAAACTCAGCCCAAACTCCTCCAAACTCAGCCTGACCCCAAACTACTCCAAACTCAGCCCAACCCCAAACTCAGCCTGACCCCAAACTCAGCCCCTCAGCCCAACCCCAATC